ATCAGAAATTAAATCAGAAATCAATTCATATATTGTAACTAATATATCAAAAAACATTTTTTTCTCGTGAAATAAGCAAAAAATTTAGTACTATAAAGTTTTTATCATTTCCGGAATTATTAAAACCAATTTATTAGCTAATTTTCTCGTATTTGATCGTAAATTTAAATAAAATACGTTTTACTGCCACAAACTTGAATACTTAATCTCAATATTCGTTATTAAAATTTCTTGCATATGCTAGAAATACAATTCTGAATTAGTAATTGTTGTTGTAATGCATTTAAATTTGTGCTTCAAATTTCAGTAATTTTTGATTCAAAATTTCGAAAAAGTCTAGATTTTTAGTACTTTCATTAGCAGGCTACTTTAATTTAGTAATATTTGCAACCTGAAATAATTCATTTGCAAATCAAAAAGTGTATAGCACTGAAAATTGTTACACTTTTAGAGAATCAGCAATTTCATTGGAACAAGACAGAGAAGTATTACTCGCATTACTTAACAACTTTCGATCTGATCCTAATTTTCAAAAATTGGGTGAAGGTAAAAATTTTGATTAATCTCTTTGAGCACCCCGTAAATTTTATAATTCAAATCTTTTCTAAATGCATAATTAAATTTTTAAATTTAAATTTTTTTTAGTAATTTTGAAAAAAAGGCAAAACTATTTTTGTAACAAAAAGTTGTCCAATTTTTATTTTAACGTCTGCAAAGTACACGCAATATGAGTCACAACGATTTCGCAGTTTGAATCGAAAATATAATTAATTTAAATACACTAAAAAATTTATACGACAAGTAACAAACAAAAAAGTTATTCAAACATAAAAATTGTCGTGTAAAAAAGTAAAAATATTTGGTCATTTCCCTCATACATTTTTTTCTTTAACACAGTAATTTCCAACATTAATCTTGTAACGAAAATAAAATTGAACTTTTTTTGAGTTTTATTTTAAAAAAATAAATACTTATTTATTTCGGATTATATTTGTAACACTCGTTTTTTTTTAAAAAAATATAAAATTTTAATTGGCATTAATCTAACTTGCTGAATCAGACGACATAAAACCTGAAATTCTAATATTTCAAAAATTCAGTGAATCAGTTTAACCTGAATTTTTAATACTTTCAGAAATTCAATTAAATTTTTGAAAATGAAACAACTGCAACAAACAAAATGCCAATTTTACCACATATATGGATGATGATAAAAGATTTGATAATTTAAGCTGCTTGTGATGATATCACTGCTACAGCCGTTCGTTTATCTAATCGTTGTAAATCCGTGGAAATTACAGTAAACACACCACGAAATGCACAACAAGTACAGGCTCTCGACAATGTAAACAGTATGATTACAAGTCTGGTCAAAAAAATGGAAGATAATATAAGTCAAGCAAAAGAAGTAATTTTTTCTCGTAGTAATTCATTGCAATAATTTGTTTATTATTTGCTGTTATTTTTTTAATCAAAAATTTTCATTAATAATTAATAGCTCTTTAATATTGCATTTTATGAAAGTTTTATTTTAATTTTTGTAGAAAGCAAAATCGTTTTTCAATGCGTGCTCGCCAGATTCCCCTGATGGACCAATCGACCATCAATTTCAAGCTCAAGTAAAACTAAACTTTATGCCAGATCTCACTTCCGTTATTTATTATAATCAATTTATTACTAATATTTAAATTTATTACAAAAATACTTATTAACTGTTATTCTTCATTCAATACTAATTCAGTTACTTTTTAATACAAAAATTTTTCATTTACTTCATTTTAGCTTAAAAAGTTTTCTTTTTTAGTACAAATAATTATTTGATTTAATATTTCTTAACTTAAGCACAAATACTAAAAAAATCAAAGCATGCTGGAACAACTGTTGATCAGCAAAAAATTTGTTAAAATTTTAAAATGATTTAATATTATTTGAACACAAAATTTGTCTTCACTGAATTATATACGATCAGTCTGATTTATTGCTTCCATTTACGAATTTATAGATTATTGATTGCACAGCCGATGATCAAAAGAATATCCGAACTCGACTAAGTATTTTAATCGATCAAATTGAACGAACCCAAAATTATATCGAATCATTGTAATTAGAACAAAAATGAATGATAATATCATACAGTAATTTTATTCCTTGCATAGAGATCAAAAATTTATCTATTATTGTTAACATTCAAAAACATAATTTTTAATTTAATAAAAATGAAGAACAAAGTTATAAAATAGCGTACTGTAAGAGTGAAGCATTGGATATACGATAGTTTGAAGCGTATTTTAAACGGTTGTTAGCTATTAAATTCGTTGATATTATGACTAGTGCTTGTTGGTGGCGATAATTTGTTGTATCAAACAAATAAAAAGTTCATCTCCAACACAATACTTAATGAGTATAAAATATGAAAATGTAAATCAAAACCACAGGTACCGTATCATCTGGTATTTGCTATTCCGTAAAGAATCAGTATAATTCGTACTAAGGATCATCACGTTGAATAAAGAAACGTTAAAAGATTCATCTTTCATAAACATTCTAGGAAAGAAGCACTGAATTCTTTACATGCAAGATAATGAACAAATTAGTACGTCAGTTAAAATCCATATATACAAATTATACTCATTCCGTATGAAATACCATATACTGTAGACTTTGACAGTACAAGAAATGTAAAGGTAGTTGATAAAGACATATTTAAGGGAATTACAATTCTAAAGTGTATCGTATCATAATGAAAAAAATTGAAGAGTAGCAGGATTATACAACAATTCACAGTAATATATTTGTGAATTATGAATATACTGCAAAAGAGGAACGGTAAAATTATATGACCGAATATAGTAGTAAGGGGGTCAATGAGCACTGTATTTGCGAATAAGAAAAAGATAACAAATCAAAGCCAAGGGATATTCATTTCAATTATGAGTATAATATATACATATTTGAAAATAACAAATTACTCAATTTTTATGCAAATTTTTGAATGTAAAAAAACAAACAAAACTAACACGAATTCATATTTGATGTAAAACAGTAAATTCTTGAAGACAGAAAATGAGTATGTAATAACAGTGCAAATATAAAAAGAATTTAATAAGACTTTACTAATAAATTATTATGGCATTCATTAGACTAATTTGTGCAACAAACTTTTTAGACAATAAATGTCTTATTAATTTCTTTATCTGTCTGACCACAAATTTAGAAATAATAATAATAATTCAGAATTCAGAATTATTTTATTCTACTCGTCTCCTTCGACAGTCATAC